GTTTTCCTATAAATAGGGATATTTACTAGAGTTAGATAAGAGTTTTCAGACCTGTCTTTGTACTCTATAAACATTCGAAAGTGTAATAGAGCTGAAACAAGATCATATTTACATCCGTTGTTCAATCACGCATTCTTACTTCAATATTAACTCTGATTCATTTTATACCCGATTCAATGATTCATCAAAGTTGACTATGCATGTGAGTTCTATGAGTTCTCATTTGTTTGCATAAGGCAAAGCACCTGGATTAGTGAAAGTTCATTGATCAGCATGGGTGAGCTGCTCAACAACTTGGAAGACATGGTAGGCCCTTGTGCTACCAAATGGAAAGAAATTAAGATTGAACCAGTTCAGTCCATATAAGTTTGAATTTGACATTGACCTTGTCTTATGATAATGGTTGGAAATGACAAATTCACATGCATAGGAACACATACACCATTAAATCTAAGTTGTAAGGTTTCTCTCCAGTTCATGAAAATGATTGTGAGGAAACGCTTTCACTAAGTAGATTTTAAAGAGTTAGCAATTGTGATATTTGCATTCTCAAATTCGATTATGATTACGAATCCCTCTTCATAGTTCGAATTGTGAGAAATGGCAAATAGTTTGAACATTCGGGACTTGCCGTACGTTATGAAATAGTTTAGACACGCATATGAGCTTTCTTATAAAAGGTGTATGAGATTAGATAAAGGCTTATCGAAGCATCACGTATCAGAAATCTAAAATTTGGTATGAAAGTCAATAAGTATTGATTTCTAGAAGTCCAGCTGATTTCTGAGTACATGTCAAAGCTAGTGGGAGCATAAGTGTTATGCTAGTAACGAAATAATTGATATTCTAGTGGGAGCATGATTATTATGTGAAGTGTTGCAAGTTAGCAATACTAGTTATAGGAAACAAAGGTTACAAATTTGCAAAGTTGCAAAATTTGAAAAGGTTGTTTCGCTATAGTAAGGGAGAGGATACTTAACTTCATTTGATTTAAAACTTAGATTAAAAATTTAGTCATAAACATGTGAATGCTATGTTGAAATGATTGAACATAAGGAAATTCTATATATGGAAATATTATAGCAAGAGATTGGTCCACTATCATGTCTTCATGAGAGACATTATGAATCGTATGCCATATGCTTCGGGTATAGGATCGATTACATATGCTATAATAGTCACCTGTTCTAATTTTCCAAATGCCTAGGGCATTGAGACGGAAAAGGGACCAGAACTAGGTATGACTGAATGTCATTAAACAACCGTCAAGGACAATCTGAGGTTTACCATGGATTAGTTGTTTGTGGATAGTTGGAAGTATAGTAATGAATGGACCATATTGATATAATTCTGAATAGATAGGATTCCATTAAGAATAGATAGTCATATGGCAATTATGGAAAAGTTTCCATAATGGGGAGTTGGATATCAAGAATCTATGAGTAAGTTAGAAACTTTTATGCAAGAAGGATGTTCAAAGGAATGTGCTTTGAATATGAGATTTCGTATTTATGGAATTGTCTTGTAACAATCTCCAATGGAATTTTTGTATTTGGAAAAGTCTCTGTGACTTGTGTACATAGTTGTTATAATAGGATCACTGCATATAAGGTTAGAATCTAACAGATTACAGTAAGTGGCAAGGACTTTGTATTCTTACACTTACGATAAGGATTTGGAATTGTGAAATGAGTGTCATTGGAAATGTTTACAATTGATCTATTTCATAAAGTAAGGACCATAGGTAAACATAGTGTGCATGCTTGGAGCATGGGATGACTATTGTTTTAATTCGAGTATTAAGTTGGTCGGTCGAAACATTATACAATGAATAATGTGTAATCGATATGGTGATTAAATAAAAGGTGTTTTATTTATATTCAAAAGTTTTGAGACCATATTGGATTCGATTATTCTTGTGTTTCATCTCGCATGTTTTGACTTCCCGAATAATAAGATTATTCAAACCATCCACAGTCGATCATACTTTGGAAGTAGGTATTGAGTCAAGACTGTCATGAATCCGTCTGTAGATTGTCTAAAGTGTTTAGACATAGCACAAGCTTGCTGCAGTATTCGTGAGTACTCCTGTAATAAGATTTGAGTATTGGATTAAACCCACGCTCATCTGAATCACTTCATGGATTTTATCACGAGTGATTGTGAGACGACAATATCTTATATTCTTGAAACAGAGAGATATGAGTTGCAGTTTACAAGTCGGTTTGCATATTGATGATATATAAACGTACCAGTAACTTGGTGTTATAAAATGTATTGTTGTGTGTGATTTGATAAGTAAATAGAGCAAACATATGAGTCGAAGTTTATCCGTTCCTTTTACCTTAAGAGGGATAAAAGCGATATATGTGGGCCCCTCGATGATTTAGTGATGACAACCCTAAGCGCTTGGCCAAGCGTGGACTGATTTGATTTGCTCAATTAGTCAGTCGTCATAAATCGGAAATCGGGAAACAACACATGGACAGAGAGAATGATTATAATCCATGTCTCATGTTCATACGATATCTAGAATGGAGGAATATATGATCCCTTATCTAATGGACGCGTTGCTGATAAGATCAGAGTTCAACAATGGCTTTTGTGAGCTACGATTGCTAGTCGGGTTTTGGAGTCGTACTTGCAATAATAGTTATTAGACTTATCCAAGTGGAAGACTGTTGGATTAGGTGTCTAAGCCCATAACTATAATTGGTATGTACTTGCCCCAAGAGTAGCATGGTCCATTTCGGGTTGCCTTCACTAGAACAATATGATAGGATGGATATTTGAGAAAGAGGTTATTTGTGATTTATTAATATATTATAAGAATAATATATTAATTGAGAAATCATATTAGTTAATTGGTATTGATCAATAATTAATTTGGAATTAATTTAGTGATCAAAAGAGACTGATTAAATTTTACGGGGACTGATTAGGTAAATCAGTAATGCTTATAGTTTGGGCTAAAGATCCATGTTGATTAGGATTGGACTAAACCTTTGTGAGAGTGCATGAAGAGTTGGTCCAAAAGGCTAATGAGTTATTGGATTAAAAGCCCAAGTGAATTAGGGTTTAAAAGTTGAAACCCTAGGAATTCCAAACCATAAAATGAACCCCTATCTTGTTAAAATCGGACTAAGACTCCTAAGATGAATGCCTAGCCAATTTTGTGTGCTCCTAGCCTCTCTCTCATTATTCTCCACTTGTTCATGGTGTTTGTGACTTGTTTGAGGCATCACACTTGAGGTGCTAAGCTCTTGAAAGGCCAACAACTACAAGCTACAAATAAGAGGTATTCTTCTAACTAGTTTTATGATTTAAGTACCAAATTTGTATGCTAGATAGGTTTCATGCTTTGGATAATTTTTTGTTGCATGTATAACTAGAGAAAACTTAGATCCAAAGCATTAGGGTTGTATGTGCACCATAGGAGTGTTATAGTACTTAAAACCCAACACTTCAGTCTTCGTGGCACAACATGTTGCTCCTAGTAGGTCCAAGTGCTCCAAGTTGCTCCAAGTTGTTGCAAGTCACTCCAAGTTGCTCCATACCACCTTTTGGTAGCTTCGTTCCTTTATCACTTGATCTGTTCCTTTATCTGATGATTCATTCCCTTCTTAGAAGATCCGTTCCTTTGTCACATGCTCCATGAACCCCAAGTGCTCCATTGAGTTCTAAGTGCGACATTAAACTTAATTACTCCATAGGAATGCTCCAAATGCTCGAGTCACATTTAACACATATGTTGATGATGCTGATATAAATATGCTATGGTATGGTGATTTTTTATTTTCTCTATGCAATCTTCTTTACCATTTAAGCAGTGTAATTTCTTTTAGGTTTGCTAGTGAATGTTACCATTTGAGCAGTTTACTTTTTCAAATGCAATTTTCTTTACCATTTTTGCAATTCGTTGATTACAAGTCCAATTTATGCATAACCATTAGCAACGTACTTTCATTAATGCAATTTCTGGATAATCTTACTTTCCTTTTCGACAATTTACCCTTACATTTCATTCCTATAAAATCTACTTTCATTATAAATGTTTCCAAGTGTAAATAACATTGTTTGAAAAACAAGTTCAATAAATACATGAAATAATGATTGATTACCATTAATACATAGATTACCCTTAATACATTACTAATACAGGAAAAACTCGTGATTACGCTTTATACATTACCCTAAATAGATTGAAAATACAACAAAATTACATCTCAATAACCACTATGGCTACCATCACCAATATAACCACTAAAAATCCTATGATTACTATAACAATGCCTTGATATGCTTTGTGTGAGACATGTTTCTTTTTTCTACTTACTTCTTCTTTGACCCATTTGAAAAAAAACCACAATTGCCTCCTTTCACCTAAAACAAACAAAAAATGAGTAAGAAATTACATATGTTCTTCTTTGGAAACTTAGGGCGGCCCCAAATACAAAGTACATAGGTTTTTACCTGAAAATTAGGGCACCCCTAAAATTTTCATCCTGGGTTATCAGGTGTTCATGAGACTAATATACTACAAACATCACGACAGCCACATGTGATTACCTTCTTGTTCCTCCATCTTGTACCATCATTGAAGTTTGATCTTGTAGAGGAAGTTGTCATTTACCGTTGGAGAAAAAAGAAGTTGTACGACAAACTCTGGAGATGAAGGGTTTTATTGGAGATTGAGATGTGCCTTGGCATCTAGGTAGGATTAATGAACCACGTAACATCGACATTGTCAAATGGTATTAATGAAAAAGTTAGAGCAAATTTGAGGCATTAACAAACCAAAAATACGACTTTTGGTAAAACCGACAAAAACTTGCAAACTAAAGGGTTTAATGGCATTTGCCCAATTTAAAACTTAAAAATGAAAAACTAAAAGATTTAGAGGACTAAAATTGAATACTAGCAAATACTCCATGGGTCCAATTTGTAATTCCCCAAAATAGGGTTGCTAATGCTTGAGCGATGTCTGGTCTAACCAAGCACAACTTCTAGAATGTCAACAGTCTTCACATTCTGGAAAAAAATGGTCTTCGTCAATGGCGTACAAGCCATAGCCGTTATCTCTTCATTCCTCCAACAACAAATGCATCGGACCCTCTTGTCATCAAGAATCAATTAGTAATTTGAAGATTTTGCATGTCTGTTTGTTGTGTCGGGTGTTTTGTAGGCTTAGGTTGCCTCCGGTGGGGTTGGAAGCGATGCACACATACAGGTGCCGACGACAGTGATTCCTGGCCACCAGCCACCGCCGATGAGTTCGAGCCTGTTCCCCATCTATGCCGCCTCACCCTCGCCGTCTACGAGGAAGACCTCCACAACCCTCAATTCCCTCCCCTTGGTGGATACCGATTAAACCCTGATTTGGTAGTGAAACGTGTTACCTACGAACAAACCCTCGGCCACGCGCCACCATACCTCATCTACCTAGACCACACACGCCGGGAAATCGTAATGGCTATTAGAGGGCTGAATTTGAAGAAGGAAAGTGATTACGAAATGTTATGGGACAATCGATTAGGGAAGCATATGTTCGATGGTGGGTATGTACACCATGGGTTGCTGAAATCGGCTGTTTGGTTGCTGAATCAAGAGTCGGAGGAGTTACAGCGGTTGTGGGTGGAGAATGGGTCTTGTTACAAGATGGTGTTCGTGGGTCATTCTTTAGGAGCTGGTGTGGCGACATTGTTGACAGTGATGGTGGTGAATCATAGGGATATGCTTGGTGGGATAGCTAGAGAGTTAATAAAGTGTTATGCGATTGCACCTACAAGGTGTTTGTCGCTTAATCTTGCTCTTAAGTATGCTGATGTGATCTACTCCATCGTGTTGCAGGTATGTTTTTTATTTTATTCATATCAAAAGTTCTCCAATTCTGAAATGGAATCGAACATTCGCCAATAGTTAGCCAATTTGGGATTGGAATTCAATTCCATTCCATTCCATTCCTGACCTTAGGTTGCAAATCCAATCAATTTAACGGTTTTTTGCCATAATCATATACAGGATGATTTCTTACCACGGACGTCCACCCCACTTGAAGATATATTCGAATCAATTTTTTGGTTAGTCGTCTAATTTCCCATTAAAGATTCATTTTTTTTTATATTATCCATTACTTGCTCCATCTTGTGGGGTAAAAGTAAAAGATTACGATTTCTCTCTTAAACCAGGCCTTCATGCTTTCGACAGTTTGCCTTGTTTGCTATTGATGGTTTGCATGAAGGACACATTTGTAAGTGAAGAGAAGAAGCTTTCTGATCCTAGAAGACTTTATGCACCAGGTAGAATGTACCACATTGTCGAGAGAAAGTTTTGCAGGTAAATTGCTAAATATATCCTTGTATTATAGCATTCAACTTTTGATTTCTTTTTATTACAACATTTTTTAATTTCACTTTTTAAACAGATGTGGAAGATACCCTCCTGAAGTCCGAACAGCAATTCCTGTTGATGGTAGATTCGAACATATTATCCTTTCATGCAATGCTACATCTGATCATGCAATCATTTGGATTGAAAGAGAAGCACAAAAGGCTTTAGAGGTAACTCACAAGTAATCATTGGTATTTATGTTTCTTGTTTTTCCTTAAGATCATCAAATAGCAATGAACTTATTAAGCTTTTACTTAAAAAAAGTGTTTGGATTAGTTATATGTGACCCTAGTGTTGTTGGATTGTTGTAGTTATTAAAGGAAAAGAGTTGTGAACACGTTACAACACCACCAAAGGTGCAAAAATTTGATAGGTTACAATCCATTGAAAAAGAACACAAAGATGCGTTACAAAGAGCAGTTAGCCTCAAAATACCTCATGCAATTAGGATCATGACCATAAATGATGAGGAGAAAGAGCCCTTAACGAAAACATCTCAAGAACTTCATGATGATTTGCCTGAAGAGGACCTAAAAAATAGAGTCAATTGGAATGATTTAGTTGAAAAACTGTTGAGGCCACCGATCAACGGAAAGTAAATTATGTGTATAGAATATTAGATTCGTTTTGTATAGTTTTGTTGGATGATTCTTGTACAATGGTTATTCTTTGATTTAAATACGCATTCATTATTTTTTTTAATTTGGGAAGAGGATAAATAAAATAATTATATAATTATATTAGTTTTTGTGCTTTGTTTGGGGGATATTCTTTTACTTTTAAGAGTAAATTACATGAATGGTCCCTATGGTTTGGGGTAATTTGCACGTGTGGTCCCTAACTTATTTTTTTAACTCGAAAGGTCCTACAGTTTGTTTTTGTTGTGCGCTTGGTCCCTGTATTACCTAAAAAGACTATTTTGCCATTGATTTTTTAATTTATTTAAATAAGGTGGGGTAGGTAAGGTAATGTAATATGAGGTGGAAGTGAGGTTGAGGGTGTGTTTATTTAAATAAATTAAAAAATCAAGGGCAAAATAGTTTTTTTAGGTAAGACAGGGACCAAACGCGCAACAAAAACAAACAGTAGAGACCTTCTGAGTTAAAAAAATAAGTTAGGGACCAAACGTGCAAATTACCCCGAACCATAGGGACCATTCGTGTAAATTACTCTACTTTTAATTATATGTTTTAATTATATGTGGTGATTGGAAGATCATATATCACTCTCGGTTTACTTTTGCAGCTAACTACCGTTAATCAAAGGGAGGTGATATTTACATTTTTGATTCATCGACATAAAAGGAATATGTGATTTTAGTTTTATATCCTCCATTTTAATTGAAAAAAAAAAAGAATCATAATCATTGTATAAAAATCAAAGAACATTGTTTTTAAGTGAATTGATAAAAATAAAAGTGGAGATATCAACCGAATGGTATTTTTACACCAAAATGGCAAGGAAAACATTACCCAATCAGGTGGGACAGTGTTCACTTTGAATCTTACTTAGTTTTCACACAAAAAAATGACTAATATGAGTTTTTGACAAAGGTGTTTTTGAAAAAAATATTTATTAAATAAGTGTAGTTTTAAAAATATTTATCAAATAGGTGTAGTTTTAAATTTTTTAATTTTTCTTAAAATTTCAGTTTTTTTTAATCATTTTGCTGTTCTTTTAGCATACGTTTTTACTTTTTGCTATAAAAGGTGTTTTTTTAGTCTATATACATCAAACAAGAGAAAAAAAGAAAAAAATGGTTTGTAGACCGTTCCACCGATTAGAACACAAAAAAAGAAGAATATTTTTTTTTATTTTTTATTATTATAGTATCTACATGAGACAAAAAATCTTTTTTTCTTATTGTTTTGTATTATTCGTTGAAGAGAAAAAAGATTTTTTTCTTGTTGCATCTAAACTCTAGATATACAAAAAGAGAAGAATTATGTATTTTTTTTTCTTTGGATATGTATGTATCTTAAACTAATATATATCAAATCAATTTTAATTAAATAGTTTAATTTTAGAGTTGTTTTCCACCAATGTTCTGATTTATTAATATATTAATTATTTAGATGGTTTTTACTTAAGATGATATTTATTGGTTTATATTGAGAAAAAAATTGTTTCTTAGTTCTTTTAAGTACTTGTTGGTTTAGATTAAAAAAATTATTAGTACAATGTTTTAAGTACAAAACAACAATCACTTCTAACAAATACAAAAGAAAATAAGAAATATCGAAATAGCTTGTTTCGATAACCATTATTTGAAAAAAAGAAAAAAAAAATCAAAAAAATACGACATAAAATCGAATGAACCAAACAAAATAAATGAAGACATATTCAATATCTTTTTGTGTGATTCATTCGACTTTATGTCTTATTCTTTTAACTTTTTGTTTTCTTTCAGATAATGGTTATCGAAACAAGTTATTTCGATGTTATTTATTTTGTAATAAACAATTGTTGCTTTTGTACTTAAAACATTATACCAACAATTTTTTTAATCTAAACCAACAAGGACTTCTTATAAAAACTAACAAACAATTTTTTTCAATATAAACCAATAAATATCATGTTAAGTAAAAACCATCTGAATAATTAATATAATAATAAACCAAAACATTGGGGGAGAACAATTCTAAAATTAAACAATTGATTTGGTATATATTAGTTTTAAATACATACATGTCATAACACAAAAATACACAATTCTTTTTGTTTTGTATATCTACAGTTTAGAGTTTAGATGCAGAAAAAAAATATTATTTTTTTTCTTCAATGAATAAGACAAAACAATAAAAAATATATATTTTTTGTCTCATACAGTTACTATAATACTAAAAAGTAAGAAAAAAAAAACATTGTCCTTTTTTTGTGTTTTAATATGTCGAACGGTGTACAAACCGTTTTTTTTTTCTTTTTTCTCTTGTTTGATGTATATAAACAAAAAAAACACATTTTTTATAACAAAAAGTAAAAAAGAAAGTAAAAAAAAGTATGCAAAAAAAAAAAAGCAAAATGATTAAAAAAACTGAAATTTTAAGAAAAATTAAAAAATTTAAACTACACATATTTGGTAAATATTTTTAAAACTACACCTATTTGTTAAATATTTTTTTTCAGAAACACCATTTTGGTCAAAAACTCACTATTACCTATGTTAATAGCATGGTTGTAAATAATGAATTGGCGGCATAACCAAGCTTCAAGTCTTGCAAGATATAGCGAGGTCTTGACGTTTTTCAGGCTGTGACAAGACGACAAATTTTTAATATATTTTATAATTTTATATATGTCTATATATTTACTATCATCCAATTCAAGGTTGTAGAACTCGCTACTCGGTACTTGTTCGGCCCATTGCATAGTAACGAGTACTCGAGAGTACTCGCATTCGATAATTCATGTACAAATATTTTTACGAAAAATATATATGTCAAAATCATAAGTTAAAATCATAATTTGAATGAAATATATAAAAAATTAGATACATGTGAATACATAAAAACTGAAATACCCACAACTGTTTCACTACGTGAATAATTACTGAAAATCTAAGATATATATATATATATATATATATATATATATATATATATATATATATATATATAGTAATAATTACATGTGTGTGTTAAATAATAAATCATTAAGTGTATTATACATATTAATCTTGAAATTCTTGATTTTTTCTCTTTTTATGACAATTTTGACCCCTTGACCGAGTTTAACCGAGTTGACCGAGTTTGACTTTGTTTCGAGTAGGCCTGAGTTAGAGAGATGTTGACAGAGTTTTGACCGATTTTTGACCGAGTTTGACTTAATCCGATTTTTTTTTGCCGAGTTCACATAACTCGCCTCGGTGGAGGGCCGATTCCGAGTACTCGGCCGAGTAGGCCGAGTTTTGCAACACTGATCCAATTATATGAACAAACCATATATTAATAAAAACCTAATATTTTTACATGTCAATGTACATTTAATATAACATAGCTAGGATTTGAAGATAACGGAGGCTTAATTGTGCTCGACAAAGGTCTTGGACGATAGTGAAATAATGAAAATAAAATGATAAAGAAGAAATCGTTTAAATAGGAGTTAGATACTTTATTGACTAATTAAAACCAGCTCACAAATGTAGATAAAAGAGTTACTTACTTTACCAGTTAATGGGAAATTAAAAGAGATATTAATAAAACAAATTAAAATAAATGGAAGTAAATCAATAATAAAAACAAATAGCGCGACGTTGATGAAATTCTAGTTGTGGGTCTCAATTTAGTCGATTAGTCTTAGCGCATTACTTTCCTCTATAATAACTAGGAGAAGTCCATGCTCCGCATGAGTGAATAGGGTTTTTCACATTAATTGAGTTTTGAATTGGCCCGCAAAATGGATAAAATAGCAAGAAATATGACCTAAGTCAACAAAGTTCAGAAATTGGTGGCTAAAAGAAAAAAACAAAAAGTGGCAGTTTTGGGAAAAGCTACAAAAGTGTCGCAAAAACCAAAAATTAATAACTTTTTTGTTCCCAAACAACCATGGGAATGAATATATATATATATATATATATATATATATATATATATATATATATATATATATATATATATATATATATATATATATATAGAGGTTCATTTGAGACCACCTATATTTTGCGAGACATGGAGACCAAATCTTAGCCTTTGATCAAAACTTATCTTGTGGCTCATAAAAAAACGTGATTAACCCTAATTAATCTAATTGATTAGTTAATGAGGGGTAGATTAGTCACTAGGTTAAATTTTAGATGATAAGATCTGATTCAATGTTAGCGTTATCTTCATGTCATCAAGAAATCATTGGCTTCAATTCTTCTACCAAGATATTCGTTGGATCAACATTTATTGTTCTTCAATTCACTTTGATCAATCTTGTATCTCCTTAAATCTTCTATTCTTTCAATCGATAGTCAATTTGATTTGGACATTGATCGAACAATGCTAAATAATAGCTATTAAAGTTGCGATTTTTGTGTTTTTTGAGTTCATGTTCTTCATTCTTCTACATTTGCAATTGATAATCTGAGTGATTGAGGTTTATTTTCATCTATCGACACCAATAATTCATTACAAGATTGTTATCGATTTTAGCTCTGTGATCATCGATTTCATCCAAGGTAGAGGTTCAAGTGTTCAATCGATTTCTACTTATCTTCATATTCAACAATTGCTAACGATCTTTCAAATTGTGATTTTTACTCTACATCACGATTTCATCAATTGATCAAGGTTTGAGTTTTCTTCTCTGTGTTTTCATTGCTTTCATTGTTACTTGCATATAACATGTTCAATTGTTAACCTTGTAACATGAACTGATTGAATCATCAAGCTACTAGTCATTTCTCCAATTAATATATGTATAATTCATGATTTCAGCAATCAAACATCATATTGATTGATTGAAATCAATTATTGTTCTTGAGAAAACTCTCTTAAACTATACATGTATTCTACCTATTTGATGAAAGTCTTGAATGAATAAAGATTCTGATGTATCACCCCCTCCTTTCCATAAATAACGTCCTCTTTCAGAATGAGTATACTTTCAAAATATAAGTTAGGATTGAAGTAAAATAATTCAATATTAACTAATCTTATTAAATTTACCTTAGTTTTGTTAAAGTATATCATTTTCTTTAAACACAGATGGTTAGAGATGTATTTTA